CAAAACTTCTAAAACAAATTAATTTGGATCACTGACCATCTCCTCCCTAGCCAGGTCAGATTTTGTGGTCCAAATGCTAAAACAGGATGAGCGAACACTGCAGATCCTTCTTATTAAGCCTGTAATGTCACATAAACCTGAATTGTGTTGTAGTGTCTAATTTATTTCTCCAAATTTAGCGTCTCCAGAGGCTCCCATTTTTTGCCCTGTAGTTAATCATGTCCTTAAAATATAATTAGATACCTGTAAAAATTGTACAAACAAACTGATGATCTGTAGAAGGCTGAATAGTTGTGCAGTTGGAAGGCTCTGTTTTGAACTTTTCCTATAAAGACTGAAGGTCTGCAAAAGCAGCAAAACGGGTGAGCTAACATGATCATTCTCCTCAGATTTCTAACAGAAACAAACATCAAATGTCATCATTTGAACATATCTGCAATCACAATGAACCTGAGTGATCTTTCCAGGCAATATCTTGCCACCAAACGACTCTGCTGACACCAGTATGTAGGAAGCCATACTCACAGCATTAACTAAGCAACACAAAAATGACACTATAATGAATGTAGGAACAAATACACAAGGTTGCAAGGCAAGAACGTTACAGAAAACATCTACTGAATTTTTATGCCACATGTTTTACCTACACAGGGGTAAGATTTTCTGGCAACCAGGTTTATTTTCAAAATAAATAGGCTGATCTCACACTACCAGTAACACTGAGACAGGGCTGATCATTCTGCAGACCCCACAGTTAACTTCCGTTATCAAAACTGCAGCACTTCTTTATTTTATACGAGAAGCAATGCTAAAGCTGGACGGATAATTCCATTCAACCACATGTATAGTCAAAGATGAAACTGTCACAGTGCAGCAGTATTAATTCCACATTAAGATAAACAATTAAGTTCCTATTTTAGAGCTATTAACTTCTCTAGCCACAACATACACACAATTAGGCACTTTCCAAGTGATCATGACAATGGCTCAATAATCATTGTGTACATAATAGTAACTTCATATGCACGTTAAGGATGCCATCAAAAGCACGTAATTAAAACCTTATTGCTGTGACAACTGTCTCGTGATTCAGTAAGACATACACTACAAGTTCACACACAGATTCATTCCCTTTCTATTCCATTGTCATCCACAATCATTAAATACTTCCTATGATGCACCCCTGCAGGTAAAAGCCCTTAGTTCTTACCCCTTCAGACACAAATTCAGGAGAGATGCTGCATGCCTTCTTCCCTGCTTCTGTGAAACTGAAACTCGTAAGTGGTCTAACAGCAAAACAAGCTAGGTAATATACGTATATATAAATGCATGCATATATGTGTGTGTTTGTGTAAATATATATACATAAATATATAAATATATAAAATAATATCCACATAGCGGGGAGAGAGAGAGAGATATAAAAATAAATAAAAAACCATGGGCTTTAGTGTCCTGTTAAGACCAGGAAGGCAGAAATGCCGTCAGGGATGTTCAGAGTCTGGTCACTTCAGCACAGCATCCAGTTCCCATTCTCCACAGAGGTCAAACTACCCTGAAGCACAGCCCTAGGAAGTTTTTTTCTCACCTAACATGGTGCCTTGTTCAACCAATATATTCTTCAAATCATGAGAGAAAAAACAATCTTACGAAAATCCTTTAGCTAGTTAGCAAGCCAACTGACATAAAAATGTAAGAGGAATGCTTGGAAAACAAGTTTTCCACAGCAAGTGAAATCTAGTATTTTAAAACAATCTGAATGATCCCTTCAGAAGCTAACAGCTACAGTGTGAGAACATCTACACTCTTCTCAGACTTATAAAAACAGTACCATAGATAGTTTATTGTAAGCTTTAAAAATGAAATAATGTAAACCACACTTAAACTTTCGGTGAATTGTGGCATTTAATTTAGGTTGCCAATGCTAATTTTACAATTGGGTTGTTCAAAATAATTAAGCTTGCAAAAGAATAAAAATTTGTGTGTAATGCTAAATCTCTGCGTTGTAAAAATGTACATTAAAAACCCATATATCAAATAATATATATATATTTTTAAAAAGCAGTAACATATAGGTAAGAGATTTTGGAGGAGTTCTTTTCCTAAATAATGTCAATATTACAAAGAACTACTACAGTCAATTAGTATAGCACATAATCAAGTCACGTGTTTCAAAAACAACCTTAAAGAATTCAGGCTGAGGCATATTCCAGAAACAACTCTCCAGCAAAGATTGACAGCACTGTTAGAAAAGAGAACAACTGTATTTTTTCCAAACTAAATAAAATGGACAAATGGTAGTACAGACAAAAAAAAGTATTCGCAACTATCTAATCTGATGTTCTTTTTGTGTTAGCGATAAGAACTGTTAATCAAAATTCTGTTAACACTACCAAATAATTGAATGTTATGCCTCTGAATGAAATACATAAATAAAATGAAATGCCTGTGTCAAGTCTGCAGTCTACTTCTGTGTATCAGTAGATATCTCCTATTTCCCTGCGTATCATGTCATCCACTTTTCTTTTTACCATTTGCTTTGGCCATTAAATGGACTTAACCATGCAAAAATCAGGGCAAAGCCTGAAGCAATTACTAGCTTACTGTTAAATTATGTAAATCTGTCTTAAGAGATATAAATTCAACACTACAAAAAAAGTAGTATTTTCAAGGAAGAAGAAGCCTTTTAAGAGGTAGGCAGGGTCTATAAGTAATGGAGATGTAGTCCCCTAGCACCCTCTCCCCAAAGGCTCTATCTTTACTCTGAATGTCATCTTCTTTCAATATGTAATGTAACTCAGACCACATCACCCCAGTTCTTGTACTGGGAGTTCTGGGATAACAGTGCATTTTTATTGGACTCAAGATGGTCAGTCAACAACTGAATACTCTTTCCACTGTGGGAAAAAACCAGAAACTTTCGGAGATCTTTCACTGGAAAACCCACCTGAGGATTGGAACATGGAAAACAGCTGTGTAAGGAGGGGAAGAAAAGTAGGGAAAAAAGAATCAATATGCTTTTTCAAAGGCAAATTTCTCTTGTAATGACACCACTGCCAGTATTAGCAATTTTCTAGGAGCAAGGTGCTTTATACTGATCCATTACCTGTTACATGAATGTTCACCTATATAGTGCTCTCAGAAGAGTACACAAAACCAGAAGGAACTTAAAGCTTTGTTCATGATAGGTTCTCAGACTTAAAACAAGTGCAAACTAAGTCTCCTTATCCCAAGAAGTAGTTTCATTTGGCATTGTAGAAGGGCATTCAAAAGGTAAGAATTAGACAAAAAGGGTGATTATGGGATACAGTATAGTTGTTTACTTTTGTTTTAGTTATTCTACGCTTTCTTGTATGAAGTCAACGGAAGGAAACAGTTACCTTAGGGCTCAATTCACCTCATCCTAAAACTGACATCTGAGTCACCCTGGAAGTGCCTATTTCTCTCCTCTCTAAGGCAGGAATCTCTTTAAACATAAGTCTACAGGTGGGATATACAAGTCTGTACCCCAGATGCACTGAGTATCATCTATAGTAGCTGAATACTACCTAAATTCTGTTAAGTGAAGGCAGGAATCCAGTCAACACTTGGGTTCAATACTTCTGACCTCTTTCTTCACAAGAGGCTCGGTTGAGTAAAAACACCCGGAAGACAGCTTTAACACTGTACATTGTATTGACAGTTCTCTTTAGAAAACAAATTGAGTGACTTTAAGATTCCTAATTTAGCATAAGTTTTCAAAAATATATTTAGTGTCCAATAAACAAAACCACCCTTCCATATTCAAAATTACCTTGTCTATTTACTTCATTCTGAAGCAGCTCTTCCATTGCCTCTTCTTCAGCAATATCTAATGGAGTGTCTCCTTCACTATTTACAGCTCCTACATGTGCTCCTTGACTAATTAAATACCTGCCAATAGAAGAAGAAAAACAAACTGTAAGCAACACGGTAAAGCTGATGCAAAAAAACCAGCAGCCATGAGAATATCATATGTAGTGGGTACATACATGCACACATACAATTAATAGAAACAACTATATTTGGTGTAAGTAAAAAACCTCATGACCATCTACAATCCCTGAATACCTGTATGCCTTTAAATCATAATACCCATTAATACAAATAGCCCTCTGTTTGCTTTTCAGTTTGCCACAAAGACTCCTGACATGTTTAAATACGTACTTGCAAGAACTGAAAGAAAATCGTTAGATGATGAACAAAAACGAACACAAGGGGTTGAACGAGCAATTCCCACGAGCTCCTCATATTAAGCTACTCATTCCTAGAACTTCCTAATTCATTGAAACATTATGTTTCTATACTTTGCCAGAATGATGACTCCTGGTCTCTGAGGCAGCTTCACAAAGCTAATAAAACCAGGCTCACCTCTGCTCTTAAGTATTCATAAGGTCAGCTTTTGGTAGGGAAGAGGTGAAGCGAAGCAATGAAGCAGTACTTTACACTCTATTCCAGCCCCACAAAGTGTTTTCTTACTTAAACTACTACTGTCTCAGGAGTCAACAATCCAGACTCAGTGGAATATATTTCTGAACTTCCAATTAAGTCAAATGGATCAATTCCAACAGTAAGTCCCAAAAGGATTATTTCACTGTATACAACCATAAGCCTATAAAGTTACTGAGAACCTACAGCTTCATATATAGTCTGTTTCTAAGTAGACAGTGAACAATAATTAAAACATCAATATAGATCAGTCTTATACCTTCTGATCATTACATTTCCACTTCCCTAACAAATTCAACACTTTGAGCCACGATAGGACTCAATACAAGCAGCGAATTGCAAACATACCTCCTGCCATGCAGAGCTTAATTTACACTTTCCATATACTTGAGAAAAAAAATCAGGAAATACTCAGACCTGAACAACCACTTATCCATTCAGTAACAGGTGTATGAAATCAAAGGTGCTTTCTTAACATCACTATTGCAGAATGCCAAATTATGCAAGGAGCCAATCACAAAGTTAATTCAACACTAATACAAATGCTTTAAAGTATTTCTGCTTAACTATTGCCTATTAACAGTAACAAATTCCAGATCTAGGATCATATTTTCCTTATCTTTATTCAATAATTCAGCATCAAGTAGTCTCATACATTTCTATTTTTTTAATGTATGATTTAAATAGCTCGTGTTTATAAACGTCTGTAATTACATCAAGAAGCAGTAAGAACTGACAGATCACAAAATGGAAATTAATTCCCAGAAGTATAGCCATATCTCCTGGGATATGCATCATCAATTGCCACCACTAACTTTGACACTGGTATGCAGCGCTGGTTTTATACTGTTCCTCTTAAAAGAGTGCCGCTATGACTCTTATCTCTCTCCAGTTTAAAGGTTTAACATCTGCAGGAATGAAAAATTAATACCAAGTAACAACAATTCTCAACAATACCAGCTGTACTGTTTTGACAGTGACACAGCCTTCCAGGTTACAGATCAGATAATTGCTAGGCAGGGTGTCTGCTTAACAGGCAAAAAAAGCAGTGGGGAAACTAATTTTCTTACAAAGTCAAAATGTTGATTCAAAACCAAAGTCGACCATTGACAAAAATATCTTTATTAAAAAATCCCAAGTCAACATTCACGTTCTTTCAACCTGTTTTTTCTAATACAGACATGAAAAAAAGTGATGTTCAAAAAACCTGGTTTTTACCTGTTTCCACATAATACCCGTAGGGAAAAATTAAGCTACTTCTGTAAGGAAAATATGTATCTTGTTGAAGTGGTTGTATTTCGTCAACTGGGTCAGTAACTTATAGACATGATAAAAGGAGCAATGCATAAGAAAGCATAGGGAACGAACAAAAGGCTACAGTAGTGTTTCATAAAGTTACCATTTAGACACATGAACAACTTCATGATCAAATGATCCTTTAAAGTAGGCTCCAAAAATGAAGCTGCTTACAGACCGAAATCAGATCAGCAGAGCTCGGAGGATTAGTAGGGCTGGAGAAGTAACTGGAGTTATCCCAGTTCCCCTTCGCACGTGGTTACAGGGCTTTGGTTTTCCACGGTCAGCAAAGGAAGGATGGTTGAACCTGCCCCAAGTTCATAGGATTTAAAGGGATGGGAGAAACAGAAGAAAGATGAAGAGCAAGCATGCTCCTCGCCAGGGAAGGGAGACGGTCCTTTCCCAACCTTCCGTCAGCCACTCCAGCTAGGCCCGCCTCTGCTATCCCCACCAAAAAATTAACAGTGATCCCCCCAAGTAAATTAATAGTGAAAAAGCCATACCCCGTATGAATCAAATTATTCAAAATCCAACTATTTTAAAGACACCTTTTAATCCTGGTAATTAAATCCGTATTTGTTCTGCTTTCCCCATCACTCAGTAACAGATGACCCTGTCCTGAAAAAGTTTATGCATTTGTTTTACCTTCATTTACAGTAAAAATAGTTGCAGCAAAGCAATGGCAGGGTTCAGATGATGCATGAAGTCACCCTGGTGCCTACGGGATCGTGGCATTAATTAGGAAACCTCGTGCCACCAAGTGAAAGGAGAGCAATTGTTTCAGATGTGTAAGTAACTTGATTCTGCGTCACATACAGAAAGGAAACAGATTTCGTAAACGAGACCAAGAGAACTTGAATTTGTAAGGCATAGCTCAGCAGAAGCCAGCACCAGAACAATCCTAAAAATCAGAAGTTTTGTTGTTTTTTTAAAAAATTACTTGCCAAACAAATTGTACTTCAACCTAAATGTTCATTAAAACTTACAGTATGACTTCAAATATGGGTGTATTTGACATTTCAGTTTTTCTGGTACCATACACTAAAATCTTCACAAGCAATAGTGTACTATTGTGTAGGTATGTATGCATATTTTAAAAAGTCATCCATGTTTTAAAAAAATCCACACAAGTAACTGCTTGTATCTTATCTTTATTAGGTACGTGCTACCTTCATCTTGAAATTTTATCTTTCTAAAGCAAGTAAACATAATATAACTTTCATTTCCTCAGCTGATATTTCATTGATAGTTACATTTATGTGCTGAAAAAGAAACTGGAGCTGTGTAATAAAGTGTCCAGAACCATGCCATTTGATATCATCTCCAGAAAAACGTGTTTTTTGCAAACTTGGATGCAGTGGAAAAGTAAAAACATATATGATTCCCACCTTCACCTACTTACAAAACCTTCTGGTACAGCACTTAAATTTCTGTCTTTTGTAATTCAATTCTTGCAAAATGGCCACGTTCAACAGACAGCTACAGAAGAATAATTCAGAAAATCCAATGATAATTTATATAACATTCTGGTAAGTGCTCATTCAAAATGTGAACAAATGAGAAGCAAACAGTAGCTAGATCCATACCATGCTTATTTTTGGAGCTAAAGCTTTCAGGTATTGATACTGAAGCTAAAGGTACCTTGTTTAGATACTCTTGTGGTCTAAGTATAGAGAATCGCAAGTATCCCAGGAATACTAGGAAAGACAAGAACAGGAAAATAAAATAATTTCTGATGCTTTTGCCCTGATGTTTCCACGACAAGCATTACACAGTCTGGGTAAGACTGGAAGAACAAGTTTGCCTTGTGATACCATTGTTTTATGAAATAAAAAATACTTCTATTTGAAATTTGTCTTTTAGGAGTCACTGCTGTATATTCCTCAGTAGCTATTATAGACTGAAACTAACAACCTTGCAAAAAACATGAAACCTTTATTTTCTATAATTATTACAAAAGCCAGACTCTCTCCCATCATTTCAAGAAAAATACATTTCAACACCTTTCATAAAGGTTGGAATCTCAGTATCTCTGAGACAATAGATAACAACCCTCCGAGATTACTGTGTAAAAGCCAAACAGTCCACACCAAAACCAAGCTCAGGAACTGGAAGTTAAAAATTTTACCTAGCAACTCAGCCTACACTCAGAATTAAAAAACAAAAAACCCCTTACAGTTGACTTCTGTTCTGTGTGTGTAAGTCTGTTAACAAAACGCATATAGAGATACAAAGTAAATGGAGAAGATGACACCTCTCTCTGAAGACAGTTATATCCAAACTTGAGTATTATTTGTGAATTTCGTAAGCATTTACTTAAGAATCTGGAAAACGCTGATGCTTTGGCTTTACTAAAGTTTGCTAGCTGCAGAGAAGAAGATACACCGCAGAAAACATTTTAATATTATTTATCTCGGCAGCAGGAAGAGGAGCATGTTTACATTCGAACCTTGCCTCAGTTCACAATATCTGGAAACAAGTTTGCAAAGTCATTTGGGATATAATTAACTTCAAGTACTCGCTGAACCTGAAGGTCACCGGCCCGGCGGCGATCACAAGGCAGGGCAGAGAAGTGGCGGCTGAATTGATTCCGTTTCATTAAAAATTGGTTACTGAGCTCACTGGAGACTCACTAGTGAAAACAAGAGGCCCCTTCAGACCAGCCAGAAGACTGGACAGCAGCCTCTAACTCCGAGAATATGAGGAGAGGGACCCTACTAAAAAATCTCTTGAATACAGGTTCAACCTGCTGTATATACATTTAAAATAAACATGTTTAGTGTGGCCTTCCAGGGAAACGTGGCTTAATTGCTAGCGAGGGCACTAACCAACAGCGCAACCGGTCTCCCGACAGCTTTTAACTAGCAATTTCAGCTAAATCCAGTTGGGTTTTTTTAAATCCATAGATGGTGGAGTTCCAATTAATTCCGTAAGTGTCTTAACTGAATGATAATAGGGAGCCAAAGACAGAAAAAGGGTCACTGTGTTCATGCAGCTGCGCAAGCTGTCATTTGAAGAGACAATGGAAAAAAAAAATCTGCCCCACAGTCCACAGGATGTAAAAACAAATAAAAAACTTACACATCTTTGGAATATGTGTTTTAATTGCCTTCTTTTAAAATGCCTTTCAGAATTACTTCAAAGATTTTTTTTTAAAACATAAAGTATCCATACACTTTTAAAAGTACATCTTTGTAAATCATTCAAATTACTAATGAAAAGACATCCATAATAAATCAGGCCAAACAATTAGACCTTCAACAGACATTTAAACAATAAAAAATAGAAAATCTTAACATTGCTGTTTCCAATTTTATTTCTTTAAAGGTCAAGTACACTAAAACTGTAACCCTGTTCCTTTTCAGACCTTCTATTGGTTTGAGTGTCTGGGAATACTCCTTTAAGTATTTTCCCACTGCAGAAGAGTTTCACTTCAAATTTAAATTCTCAACAATGTTGTTATTAACTCACATGGAAATAGAAATGCTACTACCTCAAGCTCCCTAGCCCTTCTCAAGAGTGGTTTTGGTTTGGGTCTGGTTTTGGTTGTTGTTTTGGTTCTTTTTAAGATTTGCAGCAAAAAAAAATTTTGCAAGCGAAGTACACCTACCTGCGTATACAACATATCAAGAGAGAAAAGCACAGCTACTTAAATTTTTAAGATGCACTTTTCAAAATAACGTATTAAAGAAAAATTTCAAAAAAATCTTAAATAATACAAACTTGAGCAAGTACAAAAGCACTAGAATAACATTGTGCTAAATTCTGTCGTGGTGCATAGCACACGTATGCCCTGTGTCAGTGAGCAAGTTGAATACAAGTGAAGCACCAGCACCCAGCCGCCCCTCAAATACTCCCACGCACCCTCACACTCACTTTTAAACACATTATTCAAAACCCATACAGATGTAATGATAAAAAGGCGCAATTTCCCCTATTTTTGAAATATGTATGGTAACCCTTGTAAGCATTTGGTGGAGAGCATTAAAACGTGTGCGACATGGGGCAGGTGGCTGGTGGGTCTCGCAAGGCACAGAGGAGCCCTGCCTGCCCGGGGCAGGGGCACCCTGCGCAGCACCCTGCTCTGCACAGCGGGGATCTCCTTGCCCTCTTCAGCAACAACCTACAGGTAGGTAATTTCCCTTGTCCCCCTTTCTCCACAGCCGAGATACTCCTGCAGTTGTCTTTTCTCCTGAATTCATGATGATTTACAGAAGCAAATGAAGGTTCCATGTTCAATACTGGAACCAAAACGGTACAACTGGGCCAAGAATACTTTCTCCTGTGTGATTTTAAGACCGATGTAGAAGAAATCAAATGACATGAAAAACAATTAAGTCAAACTCATAGGGTTGTCTTACTCAGGCACTCTGCAAAACGCCATCCCACGCTGTCAGTTGCCTGCTGTGCCTCAACCTTCTGCCTCTAAACATTTAGAACTGAATAGAGACCGACATAAGAAGACAGGCTTCTGTGATGGCATTCAAATTAAAATCAAATCATGATAAAACTCAGGCACTTTTAAGGTTATGTTTCTTTGCAAATTCCAGAAGATTCTCACTCACATCTTTCTCTCTTGGAAAAAAAATGCTGTAGCACTTCCTAAACAGCAATGCTCCCGCTACGAGCAGTATCATCAGCCAGCAGCTACACAAAACAGCAAGTTAAATAAGGCCAATTAGGATTATTTGGCAAAACTAGGTAATTATTTCTCCTGAAATACATGAGTGATAACTTTTAAGAAAACCGATATCAACAAAATATCTGAGGTGATTCTACAATTTCCTCTTGCAGAACACAAGAGCTGAGAATTTCAGATAGCTAGAGAAGTTTAAGAAAACAGAATTAAAAAAATAGTTGAGAAACAAATGGCCAAATGATTTTAAGCAACTGGGAAGGGACATTTCTTTTCAATTTTCACCAGTCTAATCTGGATATCAGCATATGTATTTTTCTAAATTATGGACCAGTTTGAAAAGTCTTTTTTACATCCTTCAATATGCAAGAGCTCCTCCAGATAGCAGCAAATCCAGCTTCTATTTGTCCCTCATGAAGCTGTTATGAAAGGCATCTTGGACAGACACACATCTTCGCTTCAAAATTATCAAAACAACCCCAAAGATACGAAAGTAGTATGCCACAGAGATGAGAAAAAAAATTCCCCCTAAGCAAACAGTACTTTCTATCAATTCTAAATACTATACCTATATGAAAAACATATCTATGCTTATGAAGACAACAGCCCACAGTGTACCAACACATCACTGAGCTCTGCATGTAGCTGGCTGTCCGTAGCCTCCACTGCAACTTGCACGCCCAAGGAAACAGTAACTAGAATCACATCTGTTTTCCTTCTTGGTATGCAGAAGCATGGATGAAACAGTGTAGATAACAGTATCTGGTTAGTCTTAGTCCTCCTGTGTTCCAAGAAACCTCTGAAAAAAGCCACCAATAAGTTCTAGAAATATTTGTACATAGGAGGCAATTTAAACATTAACGGTACAAAGATGGAACAGGAAAAAATCCCATTTGTAGCAATAAAGCAACTAAGCCTTCATATATTACCACATCCATAAAGAGTAAAGACATATGAGAGGTGGCAGAGCAATGTTAGTGGAAAGTAAACAGTGACTGAGAAGAGGAAAGTAGGAAGCGTGAAGCAAGCTATATAGGGAAACATGCTATAACCTTTTCACAAGGTGGCGGGGGGGAGGAAAGAACTGGAGCCTGGTAATGACAGGATGAATACAAGGCAAAAACTTCAGTAGGAAAGATATAAAGTGAAACAAAAAGTATTTTTAAAGTGCTATCAAATGTTACTTTCACTATGCACTTTGTCTGCACCCCATAGTGCAAAAATGAAGATTGAGTTTGACAAATACCTTGTTGCAGCTGCAGAAGAGTACATTCAAGTTCATACAGTAATTCTAGTTCACAACACTGTGCTCAGGATGCTTTCCTGCAGCAAGTCTCCAAGCATTTGTGGTGATTTACGGAAGTGTCATCAAGGTGAATACT